CCACGGAAACCTGAGTTCAAAACCTGCCTTAGACATGAGTAGTGTGGCCTTGGGCAAGTCACTTAACCTCTGTCTCCTTCAGTTTCCTCTTCTGTACCTGTTTCCCAGCATTGTTGTGAGGATAAAAATAAGATAATATTGGTAAAGCACTTTGCAAACCTTGAAGTGCTGTATTGTCGTTCAGTTGTTTCAATTGTGTCTGACTCCTTGTGACCCCATTTAGGTTTTTCTCGGCAAAGGTACTGGAGTGGTTTGCCATTTTCTTCTCCAGCTCATTTTACAGGTGGGGAAACTGAGGCAAACAAGATCAGTGACTTGCTCAAGATCACACATCTAGTAAGTATCTGATTTGAACTCAGAAAGATGAGTCTTCCTGACTCCAGGCCCGGCACTCTATCCACTGCAACACCTAGCCTCCCAAAGTGCTATAGAAATACTAGCTATCATTTAATAAATAAAGCCTAAACAACAATATGTGTATATGTGCATATGTATGTATATATATATATATATAAAACACATATAAATATTTATTAATTTGTTTCTAACCCTAACCCTAAATCTGTTTCTAAATTAGTTTTTAACCCTACATTTGTCTTTCTCTCTGTCTCTCCACACACACACACACACACACACACACACTATGCATATAGATATATCTATTCTATTTCTATACTGTATATGTATATATATATATACACACACACACACAAACACAAACACTTCCTTTCAGTAGACCATTTGAATTCAAACGGGCCTTTGAGACTATATAGCCAGCGAGTCTTAAACTGTGGGTCATGACCCAAAATGGGGTTGTGAAAAATTTGGCAACAGTAAAAAGTTTTTGAACGTATAATGACCAAAAATTAATTCAAAATCAAACGCGTAATGAATCTGAAGTCTTGCCCATGTTGCACCCTCTAACTTCATTGCAGCCTTGGTTCTGAATACACAGCACGCACACTTTGCAGTGCACGTGCTGTCACACCACACACCGCCAAAGAACATGCTGCCGAAACTCAAAAAGGGTTAGTGAGTGGAAAAAGTTTAAGAAGCCCTGAATTCTAGTCCAATTTTCTCAATTTCTAGAGGGGGAACTGAAGCCAAGAGAGGGAAAGTGACTTGTCCACAGTCACATAGATAAGAGCAAAGGCAGAACCCAGGTCTTTGACTCTTAATCCATGGCTTTTCCCCACCATATCACATTGCCTCAGAATGAATAGACAGCACAAAACATAGGCTTCTTACAAGGTGAAGGCTCCAATTTTCACTGTTTGCTGTCTTGCTCACCTGGAGTACGTCACTTTCACTGGGCTTCCATTTGCTCATCTGGAAAATGTGGGGTTTGGAATGGGTGATCTCAGAAGTCCTTGATGACACTGATTTCCATAGTTCTCTGCTGATCATTGGATAGAGGGGGCCCCTGAGGGGGGGATCACAGAAAGTCTAGACTATCACCTCGAGAGTCTCCTTGGCTTTGGGTTCACACAACAATGAAAATAACTCAAGTTTTAGTTATGTTCCAATGTGCTCCTACTTTGCTCCTCTGTGTCATGGAACAGGATACAAGGATGAGGATATAGAGTAGACGCCACAATTTTTTTTGAAAGTATGAATCAATCTTTTATCACAATGACTGATTAGTAACAAAGTTAACTGGTTCACCTTTTGTTTCTCCCACTCACTTCATAGTGGAGGGTGATGCCATCCTGAACTGTTGTCAGGCCTCCAAGGAAGGATGGGAGGAGGGAAGCAATCCAGCGTTTAGCCTGCAGGCATTAAGCACTTACCAAGTCTATAGCAGGTGCTGTTAATACAAAGAAAAAACAACAACACCAAAGGAAGCAACGGGCTTCCGGGAGCCAAGATGGCGGAGTGAAAAGGTTGTCGCTCTCACCCTTCCCTATCAACCTCCGAAAATCCAGAAAATATCACCCCAGGGAGAAAAAAAAACCCTGGAACAGCTGAACTAGAAGAAAGACGGGGAGCAGCAGTGCAGCTGCCCAGCAAACGGGTCTCCCAGTGCCTCAGCAAAAATAAGGAAAGCAGCACTACAAAGGGCCCCAGGCAGATAAGCATCCTGCAGCATTCATCTGAAAGGAGCTGAAGAAAGCAACCTAGAGTCTTCCTAAAGTCCCAGCCTTGCTGATTCCAACCCAGCAACTCCAACCGTCAACCAGGAGGAGATCCTGAAGCCCAGGTGGTAGAGCAGGCAAACACCAACATCTGGACCTCCCTCTGAGTGCCTCAGTGAGGGTAGGGGAACCAGTGGAAACCAGCTCAGAAAACCACCAGGTGCCTCGGCACTCTACCTCAAAGGAATCTCCCAGTGCATTAGCAGAAACGAGGGAGGCAGCATTGCAAGGGGCCCCAAGCAGATAAACACCCTGCAGCACCCATCTAAAAGGAGCTGAAGAAAGCTAAAGGAAAGGAAAAGCAGGCAACCTAGAATTGCCTCAAAGTTCCAGCCTTGCTGATTCCAGCCGAACACCAGGTAAGCTGCCAGAAACCTACAGCCTCCAATTGCCAGCATAAGAGGGCCAAGCACACAAAGCCAGTGACCAAGACCTAGGCTCCCAACACAAGAAGCTTGGGTCAGTGCCCTCTGTTCCCCAGCAGGAGAGCTCAATCTCTTTAAAGGCCAGGGAATAAAGAAACCATGAGTAAAAAGAAATGTACCATAGATTCATATTATGAGAAGAGTGAAGATCAAGACAGAAATTCTGAAGAGGACAACATTGTCAACAAACCCACACCTGCAACATCAAAAGGCAATATGAACTAGTCTGAAGCCCAAAAAGCCTTCTTAGAAGAGCTCAAGAAGGATTTTAAAAGTCTAATGAGAGAGGTAGAAGAGTCCTTAAAAAATACAATTGGCCAATTGGGAAAAAAGTACACTGAAGAAAACAAATCCCTTAAAAACACAATTGGCCAATTGAAGAAGGAAGTACAAAAACTAACAGAAGAAAACAATCTGTTAAAAACTAGAATTGGACAAATGGAAACTAATGACTCTATGAGAGAGCAAGAATCAGTCAAACAGAAACAAAAAAATGAAAAAATGGATGAAAACTTAAAATACCTCATTGGTAAAACAACCGACCTGGAAAATCAATTCAGGAGAGACAATTTAAAAATCATTGGACTACCTGAAAATCATGATGAAAAAAAGAGCCTGGACAGTATCTTTCAGGAAATCATAAAGGAAAACTGCCCTGAAGTCCTAGAACCAGAAGGTAAAATAAACATATAAAGAATACACCACTCACCACCTAAAAGAGATCCCAAATTGAAAATGCAAATAGCAAAATTCCAAAATTACCATCGAAAGAGGAGGTGCTGCAAGCAGCCAGAAACAATTTAAATATCATGGAACCACAGTCAGGATTACACAGTACCTTGCAGCTTCTACATTAAAAGACTGCAGGGTGTGGAACATGATATTCCATAAGGCAAAGGAGCTTGGATTGCAGCCAAGGATCAACTACCCTGCAAAAATGAGTATGATTTTTCAAGGGAGGAGATGGGTATTCAACAAAATAGGGAACTTCCAAACCTTCCTGATAAAAAGACCAGAGCTCAACAAAAATTTTGATCTTCAAGCACAAGATTCAAGAAAGACATGAAAAGGTAAATTTGGACAGAAAGATACAAAATGTTGTTAATAAGGGCTGATTGTTTACATCCCTAGAAGGGGAGATGACACTTGCAACTCTTGAGAACTATATTGTTATTACACCATGTTAAAGGAGTATACATAAAGGGGTTGGATATTAGTTGACTTTGATGTAATGATAAAAAAAAATCTAATCAAGTGGGTTAAATGGATCCAAGTAAGTGGATTAGTCTGATCTTAGAAAATGTACTGAGAAAGGAGGAGGCAGACAAGGTTAAATTACATTACAGGAAAAGATAGAAAATCCTATTGCAGCAGAGGGAAAGGGGGGGGGTGAGCATTGTTTGAACCTTACTCTCATCAGATTTGGCTCAAGAAGGGAATAACATAGTCAGTTGGGTATAGAAATCTAACTTGCTCTATGGGCAGTGAGAGGGAAGGGAGGAAGGAAAAGGGAGTTGGGGATAGAAGGGAGGGAAGAAGCAGTAAGGGCAAAGAGGAAGAAAAGGGAAAGGGATGATAGAAGGGAGGAGAGACTGAAGGAGGTGGTGGTCAAGAGCAAAACACTAGTAAGGAGGGTAAAGGAGAAAGCAGAAAGAAAAGCTTAAACAGTGTAGCTGGGACCTTTATAGATAAGCAGACCATCCTATTTTCATGGTCTAGCTGTTCCCAAGGGGAAAAAGAATGTGGCTTTTGCCATAGCCTTGCCCCTCCCCTTCAGGAGGAGTTTTGTCCTTTTCCTACCTTTACTCCACCTTTCCTCCCTCCCATACCACACCCCTTTAGGTAGGGATTCTGTCCCTCCTCTTTTCTTTGTTGTCCTGTTATAAATATGCAAACTCCTGCATGGATTGTTGAACTCTTTGGGTTCCATATGCATGATCTTTCCTCTTGTAATAAACCTACTTTTCATGTAAGTTTCGTAAAATTGTGATTGTCTATTGACCAAAGGGAGACTCAGAAGGGATATTGTAGTTTTCTTCCTAGAATCAGAAACACCTTTATATGGAAGAGGGATTCGAATTGTTCTCCTTTGTTCCCATAGGTAACCTAAGGAGTGCCTAGTTTTAGGGGGGACTAACGTGTAATGAGTCTGGAAATACAGGTAAAAGCCAAGGTGTTTAGGGCTTTTATTAGATTAAGGAAGTAATAGGTAGTACAGTGATTAGAGCTCTGGATTTAGAATCAAGAAGACTGGAATTCAAATCTGCCTCAGACATTTATTAGTGTGAAGCTAGAAAAATCACTTAACCTGTTTGTCTCAATTCCCTTATCTGTAAAATGGGATAATTATAGCATCTGCCTCCCAGGGTTGTTGTGGGGATAAAATGAAGTAATAATTGTAAAGTGCTTTGCATACTTTAAAGTGCTATGTAAATGCTAGCTATTACTATTATTAATGGGGTGCCACAGGCGTTTATTGAATGATAGTGACGTTCAGATTATTATTAAGGAATTCATCATGTCATCAATTACTAAAAATTATTAAGAGAAATCCTTTCCAGTTCTACACATATGATCTTATGATCCTACTATGCCCCACCTTTCGGTAACAAGCGAGGAGGTGCCCAACACACTTGCCCTCACTCTATCCTTTTTTCCTGAGTCTGACAAGGGAACTGGCCGGGATTTAGGCGTCACTCGGCGAGGACTACAACTCCCAGCAAGCCCCGCGCCCGACCGGGGCCGGATGAATGACGGGACCGCGGCGGTAGTGACGTTTCCCGAGGGCGGGTAATTTCGACTGGCGGGAGAAGAGCGGTTACGGTTGGCAGTGACTGTGCCGGGTCTGAAGCTCCCGGAACCGCGATGGCTCAGCCAGACGAGGACCGGTGGCCTTCGCGCTTGGTCGAGATGAAAGTGAGTGCGGCCGGACCTCTCCCTCGAGCGGAGGCGGCGGCCCCGGGGGCCCGGGGCAGGGAAGCCGCCCGGCTCCTGAGGAGCCCCGGGCCAGGCCGCGGTCGCCTCTGGGAGTGGGAGGGCTGAGGGGAGGCGGGGCAGCCGGGCCTGGGGGGCGAGTGCTGGGCTCGGCCTTGTCTCTCCCCCCTCAGCCCAAGGCAACCCCCCCCTTTCTATATATTTTGTATTGATGGGGGGCTGGGGGTGGGGGTGGTGCCACTAGGTGCTGAGCGCTGAGCCTGGAAAGGTAGGAAGACCGGAGTTCAGATCCCGCCTCTGATACTTCCTAGCTGGGGGGCCGGCCTCGCCAGCTCACTGCGCCTCTGTCTGCCTCAGTGCCACCATCTGTAAAGCGGGGATAATCGTAGCACCGACCTCCCGGGGTTGTGGTGAAGACTGAATGAAGTAATGTTTGTAAAGCGCTTAGCTCTGCGTGGACTAAGCCCTGTCCTAGGTGCTGGAGAGGTCAGACAAAGAGGAGGCACCCCGCCCTGGAGAAGCTTGCATTTAAGGGCTGTGTGTAGTTACAGAGAGAGTCATACAAAATACCTTTAAATTTCATATACATATATATGCACATATAATAGCATTGGTGTATAGTTATAGCAACTATGTTTATATAGAAATATTATATATAAACAAATGTTTGTGAGGTTCTAAGCACAATAATTGCTGTTTAATAAATTCTTGTTCGTTTCTCCTCCATTTAAATTATACACACACATATATACACATATCTAGAATTTATATGTAATTAGTATATAGTATTAGTAGAGTATATAGTATATATAATCTTGTGTATATATGGTTGTGTGAATAAAATGAAATAATTTTAAAGTGCTTTGCAAACCTTAAAGTGCTATATAAATACTAGTTACTATTATTGATGGAGAGCCATAAGAGTTTATTGAATATGGTAGTGATGTGCGGACTATTATTAAGTAATTAGCACATATCGATTATTAAAGAATATTCCATATGTAATCATATATGGGATATTGCTTATAACTTCCATATATAATTATATTGTAAATCCCTTATGTATAATTATACATTTGTATGTTATATAATCATAAAACTATGTGTAATGATGGATAATTTATAAATCTATAATTAATTTGTATATTAAATACACATTTACACATTAACATGTATACATGTTTATATATTATTACATAAAGGTATTCCTTAATAGTTGATGATATATGATAATATATCTTATATAATAATTAATGACATATAGTATATATTTAACATTGTGTATATTACACTTGACTTTGGAATTGATTTAAAGATAACTCCCAAAATAGAAGATGCCATAATAATGGAAAAATTCATGGTTATTGTCATTACCACTGTAAACCTGACAGAAGACCTTAGGGTTTAGTGGCACTTAGTTTCTCATCCCCAAAATTTTAATGAAAATGGCCTACAAACATGTAAAGAGTATCCTTGAGGTAATTCTGAGAAAGAAATAGGCTGTCACTGACAGTTTTCCACAACAGACTACATCTTTGTAGTAGCAGTTGGTATAGAGATTACAAGATGCCATTGTATTTGTTAGCAAAAATCATTTGATTTACTAAAACAAAATGCATCTTTAAAGGCTCTCTTCCAATAAAGTGTGTCGTATACATATGTCTAGGTTATACAAAAGGCACAACCACAAAGGTAATTTTGTTCTGTGGCCCTGTGTATCTCTAACAAGCAAGGAATAAAACAGGGAGATGATACTTTCCAAAGGGTGTTTTTCGAGTGCAGAGGCTAAGTGGGCAAGCAATACCCTATAGATGCTTCTGGATGACCCCCTCAGTGCTGATTTCAAGTCTTCAAATATTAAAGGGCCTGCCTTCTCGTTGAGGTCCATAGTTATGCTAAAGAGATCAGGCTTACATTCCACATAGGAAGAACAAAGTGGAAGAATACACATTCATATGGGCATATGTATGGAGTTAGGTCATCAATATGTATGTAATGGGGCAACGTATCATGGGTAAATATTAAACATGGATAATGACCTGGCCCCAAAATTGACCAAGAAGAGAGTAGGCTGATTTCATTTGAAAAATTGGACTTTGCTTTCAAAAGTTTGCTTTTTTAACACTAGTGTTCTTCTAGCAGCCTGGTGTGATGGATAGAGACCTGGCCTTGGGAGTCATAAAGACCTGGATTCAAGTCCTGCTTCTGATACTTACTGCCTAGGTGACCCTCTGCCAATCCTGTAACCTCAATGTGCCTCAGGCAGTTCTCTAAGACTATAAGTTGTTGAACAGGTGCTGTTTTGCCTTGGTTAGGGGAGTTTTCTCACTAGGAGTTTCTGCTTCAGTGAAGTCACCTTTGGCTCTCTGTGTCTGCTTATGCTAATAGCACACTCTTGAAGGGTAGACATGGTGAAACAGCTTCTGAAAAGTGTCTTTGGTGGAGATAAACATCATTTTCCAGGATGCTCTGAACCCTTCCAAAAAGGGAAATGGTCTAGTGCAAAGTGCTCTGGTCTAGATAATGGTGCGCTGATCTAGGCTCTAGCAGCATCATTGATAGCTCACATCCTATGAGACTTTTGAGTTTTATAAATAAGTGCATCCTGATTCATAATAACCTTGAGAGACATCTGAAGTATTTTCTTCATTTTGCAGATTAGGACACCAAAAGTCAGAGAGGTAGATCAACTTTCCTAAGGCAGAACAAGGTGGCAGAGCTTGAATTCAAATTTAGGTCTTTCTCCACTCTCCCTGGGCTGCCTCCTCCCCTCATTTATCACGTAGACTTAGACAAATTAATTTTCCCCAATAAGCATTTAGTAATTGCTTACTATATGCCAGGCACTGTGCTAAGTCCTGGGAACACAATTACATGCAAAAATAAAGACAATTCCTGGTCTCAAGGAGCTTATATTCTAATGGAGGAAGGTTCAGTTCAATTGTTTTTCACTTGTGTACAACTCTTTGTGACCTCAGTTGGAGTTTTCTTGGCAAAGATACTGAAGAGGTTTGCCATTTCCTTCTCTGTTTTACAGATGAGGAAACTGAGGCAAGCAGGGTTAAGTGACTTGCCCAGGGTCACCCAGTTAGTAAGTGTCTGAAGCCAGATTTGAACTCAGGAAGACTCATCTTCCTGACTTCCGGCCTGGCACTCTATCCACTACTGTACTAGTTAGCTGGAAGCAATACCTAGAAGGAAGCTGAAAAGTGCGTGTGGGGGGGGGGAGGGTGTGTTATTGGGGGGCTGATGAAGTCTACAGAGTGAGAAGACCAAGAATGGATGGAACTTGCAGGATGAGGAGAGTGTTATGGTTTGATGTGGAAAAAATCCAGAGAGTTAGGAATGGAGCTGAGAAAGTGAATGTCTCAATTCCTCATTGTAAAATGAGAATAATACCTATGTTAGTTTCTTTACAGATTGTAGTGAGAATTTGAGATAATATATGTAAAAGTACTTAAGAATGTATAAAGTGCTATGTAAATGGAAGGTATTATTTTGAAAGTATGAAATCATGTTTCAAAATAATCTTCAGCTGGTCAATCAATAAGCATTTGACAATCACGTGTGCCAGGTGTTGGTAAGCTCTGGGGGTTATAAAGAAGGGCAAAAACAGTTTCTACCTAAAGAGGTGACATTTCAGTTGAGGAGGCAATATGTAAATAACTAAATACGTACAAGATTTATACAATATAAATGGAAGGTAATTTTCACAGAGAAAACATTAGCAACTTGGATTTAAGGTTTGATTTCTACCGATGTTAACATAACATTGTGTTATCTTGGGCAAGTCACCTTTGTGTACCTCAATTTCCTCAACTGTAAAATGAGGATAATGGTACCTGTCTTACAGGGTTATTGTGAGAATCAAATGAGATAATATTTGTAAAAGTGCTTAGCCCATTGCCTGGCACACAGTGGGTGCTATGGAAATATTCATTCCCTTACCTTCCCTTTTCCCCCAAAATTAGACTTTGAAACTTGTAGTAGAACCATGCCCTTTTGGATTTCTTGAGCCTAGCAAGAATTATGTTTCCCAGAGAGCCCTTCCTTGCCTGATTGGTACTCTAGCCAATCTGTCTGACAGCCCTGCCTTTGGCTCTCACTGGCCCTAGTCTTTCCTAGGTCTCTTAACCCTGTTTTTTAGTATTATGTAGTAGAAATAGTACTGGATTTCTAGTCAGCAGGCCTGGGTTCTTGTCCCATTGCTATAATAAGCATTAGCATATGAGGCAAATCATATCCTAAAAAATAAGGACTTTATATAGGTATTAGGGTTTGTAAAGTGCTTCACATCCATATTCACATTTGATTCTTATAACAACCCTATGAAGTAGGTACTGTGGTTGGTTTTGTCCCCATTTTCTGATGAGGAAATGAGGGTTAGTTAGGTTCATTGATGTTTCTGTGGTCATGTGGTTAGTAAGTTTTAGAAGTGGAATTCACACCCAGATCTCTCTGATTCCCAAAGTTCATTGTTCTTTCTGTTATACTGGTCAACCCTCTGTGTCCTTCATTTTCTCAACCATGAAATGAGGTTCTTGAACTAGATGATCTCTTATGGTACATCATTTTTATGATCAGCTTCTTTGATGGTTAGTACTACTCAGTCTGGGTTGTCAGAGCAGAGGAGCAGAAGAGCTATGCTACAGCTGATGAGCTGGCTGCCTCAAGCAGTAAGGGAGAACACTGAGAAGACTAAGACAAAAAGTGTTGTTATAGTCTTTCCTAGGGGATCTAGAAAGAGTGTTTAGGGTGGAAAGGTTTATTTTATGCAGATTTGTTGGTTAATACTAATGATCATGTTTGTTTCCTAACTAATTTTGAAACTTTAAAGTGTTTTTGATATATTGTTATATTTCAGGCAGTAGATGACTTGCTGAGATGTGGGATTTGCTTTGACTATTTCAACATTGCAATGATCATTCCTCAGTGTTCACATAACTGTAAGTATGTGATGTTTTCTTGTCAATATGTATGAGGTGTACTCTTCTCTACATCAAATAGTATTTAGCACTGACAACTTGGGGTACTGCAGTGAAACACACATTTCTGGTATATGGCTTCTATTTAATAGATTTTATAATATTCCTGTTTTGTTTTTTTACTCCATCATTTCTTGATGTTTTTGTCGCTTTTGTAGCATTGGAGATAATAAAGATTTTGGTCATACCACAAAGTGATTTGTTGTCAAACATTTAAAGAACAGGGCTAATGTTAAGACCAACTTAAAAAAAAATAGGTGTATAAAATTAGAAGATAAAATTAGCCAGCCAATTTAATTAATTCTTGAGTTAGAATTACAGGACTTGAAAATCCATATAAAATTGAGACAAATTTATATATTTTTTTCAATGAGAGAATTCCAGACATTAAATAGCAATTTGAACTATTTTTGCACTTCATTTGCTAGCTGATTCTGGAAGGAGTTATGTGTTGTAATGTATTTATCCTTTTGTTCATTCTCCTCCCAAATTAACAAAATTTGAGGAATGCTAAGTGCTCAAAAATTCTTTATACAATAGCTTAACGTATTTAGAATGAAGATGCTAGTCATTGTCCCAATTTTCAGGTGCTGGTTATTCAGTTTCCATATCACCTACACCTAGTCTTTCTCATCTTGTGTTATGTGGGGGAACGTGGAAAATTTATACCACAATTTGGATTGCTGCTAAGTACAGCTTTGATGAAATGCTTGATGAGAGACAATATTCGAATCAATGAATATTATGAGGTTTGGGAATTGTCTCTGGATTTCAGTTATCATGCCATTTTCCCTTCAATTATGAATAATTAAGAATTGGCTATCTATCTCCATCTCTAGTATCTTTAATCATTAGAGAGATAACCTTGTTACCTTATTTTTTCTTCTTTTTTTTTGTCATTCCCCATCTCCCTCCCTAACCAATCCCTGTTGTCTTAATGTAGTTCTTTATCCAAGAGGGATAATGGAGGAGCCTTTGACTTTCACAACTGTTCAGATATCCAAAAGTAATAGTTTATTTTGTGAACCTTTTGTTTCTATTCTCTGAAATGAGAATAGAGAGCTACCTTCAGTAGTTCATTTTTTTTAATGATAAGAGAATAAAACACTTTTTATCACAGTTTCCCTCAAATGTCAAAGTAGCTTTGGTCTTTAGTGTTGTTATGATGATGTAAGTACCTTCAGTGATTTGGGGTCAGTTGATTTAGTTGTTTCACACAACATTCATTGGATGTTCAGCTATCATTACCCTGGAGGAACTGGAATCAGTGACCTGAGGGCCTATCCATATGTTAACACTCCCTGAACTTTCTGGAATGTTCCACTTTTCTATTCTACTCCCTTTTTAATTTTTCTTTAGCTCTAATTCATTTGCTTTGGATATGAGTAGCAAGTACTGCATTTACAATTTGTTTATGATTGTCAAACATTTGCAAAGTGTAGATAAATTGATTCCGACACATGCAATTAGGGAGCATTTATGCTGTACTAATTTTCCACATATAAATCCCATTAAATAGAAAACTGTCTACTTGTAATGCATTAATGATCTTAAATGATAATTTTCCTAGGAAGCTACACAGTTTCTCTCTCTTTGTAATTAAAGATCCTTAAAATATCTGTTCCTAGGTCACCACTTTAAAATAAATGCTATGTTATTAAATCAGTGTTAGGAGGCACCATTTTTCTCTTGAGAGACCTTGACCCACAAGTGTAAAAATACAAATGGAAGACTTCACGATTTAAATGAATGATTTTTTTAAGAGTTAATATAGAGAAATGAATGTTTCCTTCAATGCCTTTTTAAATGAAAAGGAGAGCTCTATTTAACAAATAGTAATAAATGTACTTTATCATTTAAAGGGGTGGAAGGGAGAAGGAGAACATTGAGAAGGAAAACAAAGAAAGGAGAAAATCAGAGACTTGAGAAGCTCAGTATGTTCTGAAGTGAGTGTGCAAACTGGATATTGTTGACACAAGCATTTGGAAGCTTTTATTAGTTCTGCAACATCATCAGTACTTTCCTATGTGGGAACCATAATTTTTGCTTTCATTTCAGAACTTTATGGTTAATTCCTGAAACATTATTTTCCCACGGAACTGCGTCTAAAGGTTTTGTACTATTTGAAGAAACAACTCAGGATTTAGACATTTACTTTAGAACTTTAGAGAATATTGCTCCCTTTTGATGTTCGTAAAATCACAGAATGTAAAAGCTGAAAGTGACTTTGATCATCTAATTATATCCTTCTCATTTTACAGATGAGGAAAATGAGACTGAGAGAGGTTGTGTTTGAGGTGCTCATAAGTAATTCAGTGGCACCCAAACATAGGTTTTCTAATCACAGCTCTATTGTTCTTAACATCCTTATTGAGAGTTTAAAGTTGCCTCTCAGTAATGCTTGAAAATTACATTGAAATGAGCCTTTATTTCATAATTCTGGGGCATTTTATTTTCTGTACATTTGATCCTTGTTGGGTCTTAGTGGGGAGAAAGTCAAAGTCACAAGTTAAAAAACACTCTTTGGAAAGAAAGAGTGAGTTAACCTACCATTCAGAGTGATTCAGTTGCCTTATCAAATATGCAGAGACCCTACTTTGAATGGAATAGCTGCTGAATCCACCAGGGGATACTCTTTTCTCTGCAATGCATCTAACTAATCTGTGTTTGACAAGAGTCTGATAAAATTGAAATTAAACCAAAGGCTTAATTTCTTCATAATTACGGCAGGGGTTCTCAACTTTTATGTGTGCTGAGGCCCTTTGGTAATCTGGTGATGCTTATGGACTCCTCAGAATAATGTTTTTAAATGATTAAAATAAAATACATAGGGGCAGCTAGGTGGCCAGTGGAAAAAGCACCAGCCCTGAAGTCAGGAGGACCTGAGTTCAAATCTGGCCTTAGGCACTTGACACTTACTAGCTGTGTGACCCTGGGCAAGTCACTTAACCCCATTGCCTAGCAAAAAGCAAACAAACAAACAAAAATACATGAGATTACAAAGGAATTAAATTATAATTAAATATAGTTATGAAAATATTAAAAAAAAGTTACAGAGCCCAGGTTAATAACCCCTAAACTAGAGGTTTCCTATTCCTGTTTTAAAGTAATATAGCATTGGATATGCAAAAGAAAAAACTGTGAAGCTTGAATCTCTGCAAAGCACTGACTCATTAATCTGCCTTATATTAAATATACTTAGATTAATAAAATAAGCCAGGAAGATGCAAGAAATTTTGCATTTTTTCAGCTCTGAGTAAAAATTTTCATTGTGTTCTCATGAATTTTAATACTAGCTGTGGGATGTGGTCATAGTGACTTAGAAGAAGAATGCATGGAGGCCTTATGGAATTGGAATCAGGAGACCTGGAGTGGAGTCCTGATTCTGATATTTATTAGCAGTATATTATGCCTGGGCAAATCACCTTATTTCTCTGAGCCTTCAGCGTAGTATTTGGATAAAAGTACTTGCACTAATTTATATCACAGAGTTATTGTGAGGAAAATACCTTATAAAACCAAAAGTACAATCTAGATTCTAGCAATCATTCCTTCAGGATTGGTGCTTATCTCAGGAAGCTACATCTTGGAATAAAGAGAACACTGGACTGGGAGTTAGAAGGCCGTGGGTCTCATCTCTGCCATGAACTGGCTGTGTGGGACATTGGGCAAATCTCTGTACCTCAGTGTATTCATCTCTAAAATGAGAGGGTTGGAATTGAATGATTTCTAAGGTTACTTCCAGATTTAGTATTCTTTTTTGTGATCTGTGGCCTAGAAGTATTTTTAGGTTTCTATGGAAATGCCAGGTTTTTTTTTATTTATTTGCAATTTTTAAATTTTTTTTTATCACTTTTATTTATAAATATGTCCATTCCCTATTCCCTACCTAGTGAGCCATTCCTTATAATGAAGAATAAGAAAGAGGAAAAAAAAGGAGTTCTGCAAGAATATAATACATAGGTCTTATTCCATGTTCCATTCCAGTAATCCCCATCTTAGTGAAGAAGAGAGGGAAGTGCATGTTTTCAGCTTTTTTTCAGGGACAGGTTTGGTCAATATAGTTATAGAAACCTTTGTTCATTTACATTATAGTTATTATTAAATTATTATTATTAAATATATATTATATTCTTTCCATTTACATTGTTGGAGTCCAGTTGTATATTGTTTTCCTGCTTTTGCGTATTTCACTGTGCATCATTTCATTTGCATTTTCCTTGCATGCTTCTCTGAGTTCTTCATATTTAATGTTTCTTATAGCACAGTAACATTTCAGTAGTCATGGACCATAGTTTGTGTAGCTATTTCTCCAATTGAGGATCTAGTTTGTTTCCAGCTATTCGCTACAACAAAAGGTGTTGCTATGAATATTTTGGTGTATTTGGGACCTTTCTTTCTGCCTGTGACATCCTTGAGTTATAATTGGCCTTGTTGTGAGCTCTCTTGCTCAAAGGATTTAGTCACTTTAAAAAGCTTAATTCCAAATTGCTTTTCACAATGGCTGGACCAATTCACTGCTGCACTAACTGTCTGTTAGTGTATCTGTCTTTCCAAAATGCCTCCAACATTGACTGTTTCCATCTTCTGTCCTATTTGACAGTTTTCTGGCTGTGAAATGAAACCTCAGAGTTACTTTGATTTTTATTTCCCTTGTACAACCCCAAACTCTACTCTTTACCCTAACCTAATGTGACATTGAGCAACTCATTTCACTTTTCTGTACTTCAGTTTCTCCACCTTTCATAAGATATTAATAGTTCGCAATTCTTTGGGGAAATGTTTGTGTATTTTGTGCTTAGCACATAGTAAGCACTTACTAAATGCTTGTTGATTGACTGACTGACCATTTATTCTTTTGGAGTAGCTCTTGGTCATATGTTTGTGTTTTAAGTCCCTATATGTATATTTTGGATATTGGACTTATATTAGAGATAATTGTTGAAAAGATATTACCCCCTGTCCACCAAAATTAGAATTTCCCTTCTTGTCCTAGGTGCATTGATTTTGTTCATGCAAAACATTTTTATGTTTTATGTAGTTAAAATGCTATATTTTATTTTTTGTGATTACCTTTATCACTAGTCAAGTCAACAGGCATTTATGAAATGCTTACTATATGCTAGGCACTGTGCTAAGAGCTGGGGGTACAGAAAGCTGTCAATCTGATGCAAGAGACAACATGCAAACAACTATATACAAACAGGATATAAACAAGATAACCTGAAGGTAATCTCAGAGGGCAGGCTAGCATTGGGGGTGGAGCTGGAGGAGGAGGAGGATTGGTAAAGACTTCTCGTAAAAAGTGGGATTTTAGCTGAGATGTGAAGGAAGCCAGGGAAACCAGTAGGCAGAGATAGGAGGGAGAACGTTCTAGGAATGAGGGACAGTGAGTGAAAACGTCTGGGTTCTGTAAGTAGGGTGTCCTGTATGAGAAACAGGCAGGGGGCCAGTGTCACTGAATGTCAGAGTACGGGAAGGGGAGTAAAATCTAAGAAGACTGGAGAGATAAGAAGGAGCCAGGTTATGAAAGGGCTTTAAAAGACAAACAGAATTTTATATTTGATCCTGCAAGTGATAGGGAACCACTAAAGTTTATTGAGTATGGATGTAATATGGTCAGTCCTGCAGTTTAGAGAGAACTTTGTAGTTATCAAAGCAAAACCAGACATAATTTCTCCATGTTGTGTTTTAAGATTCTGATCTGTTAAAGACAGACTTATTAATATGTCAAAAACCAGTTAGAAAGATTATCGTAGACTCCCCATCCAGCATGTGCCCTACTAAGGGCATTCTAAGCAATTATATATGACTCCATGTGTTACGTTAAAGTTACACATCAAGAACAGAGTATTTATCCAAGGGAAAGGAAAAACAGTTCCAAGATACATTTGTAATGTTAAACTTGAACAAGTCAGTAACTTGGACTGTCAAAGTCCCTAACATCAAACCAACGTACTGCAGCTCACAGAGATACAGACAAATGTAAGTTACCAAAACAGTTATTATCTCGGTACCTTCTGAAAATAGTGTCTTCTGGTCTCTTCCAGCATTAACATGTTGGCAGTTAATCTTGAACTACTGTCAAGGTCTTAAATTGGTGGCTGGCTATTTTAGCTATAGCATTAAGGCCATTAAATTCTACTCTGCCTATGAATTTGAGACTATGATATTTGGTTTCTTAATTCCCAGAGTTATCTTTTTCACTTACTGCTATGACCATATAACAACTTTGTATTTGTTTATACTCTTTATATTTATTCTGTAAATGCCCATGTGTCCTTCTTCTCTCCCCATTAAAATTTAAGCTCCTTCTGAGTAGAGTCTGTTGTAATTTCTTCTGTTTGCATCCCAGCGCCTAGCACAGTGGCTGGCGCATAGAAAAGTAGTTCGTAGATGCTTGTTGATGGACTGATTGAAGTTTTGTTATAAGTCAAATTTGCATTGTTAATACATGCTAATGGACTGATTTTATGCCATTTTTATTTCTTTCAGACTGTTCTCTTTGTATAAGAAAATTTTTGTCCTACAAAACACAGTGTCCAACCTGTTGTGTGGTGAGTTTTATGTGAAAACTTTTCTTAGCATTTTTTGATCGTAAATATTGACCTTTCACAGCTATGAAGAGAAACACAGGGGCTATGTGCTTGCTGATTGAAGCTACTGAAGAAATTTTAGTGGAGTGGTGTGAAAAGTGCCTTTAGAAACTTCGGGAGTGTCTGGCTTTGTTAAATTTGGATGATACTTTTATGTTAACATTTCTTATCAATTAAGCCTGAATTGAGAAATAAAAACTTTAAGGTCAGGAGAGCTACACTCCCTTTAATGTCACGTTCTTAGGCCCTTTTTTTGGATTATTGAATTCTGGTGGAAAATGTGATGGTGCATTTGTGCGTATTCTCACTGTCTATGCAGTGGTACCAGGGGCTCATGGCACAGAAAACCCAGGAGTACATGGCACTGGGGTAGGGGTTTATGGACCCCAAATTAAGAACCCCTGGACTACATGACTTCCAAGGTGGGGGTCTATGGAGAATGAAACTCATTCATCTAGCACCTCTTTTTCTCAAGCCAGACACTTCTCAGAAAGAACTCTAGCACATAGCTTTGTTAGTTTTACAACATGGGGACTAAGAAAAATAGGTGCAGAGAGAAGGCATGAATCAAGAAAGGGAGAAAAAAGGGACAAAAGGAAGGAAGAAAAAGACCAAATAGTTTAGTGAAAAGAGGGCTATTTGTAAAAATTTGGATTTCTTGTTTCTCTTCCAAAAAATGAACCAATCCCATTTGACTTTAAGGTGAACCCTTTCGCTTCTCTGAGCTTCAATAAAATGGGTTTATCATGAGCTGATCTGGAAAGTGCTTTTCAAAACTTTAAAGTGCTATATAAATCGTGAGGTATCATTTTTGTCAGGTTATTCAACTTCCTGTGCTTAGTTCTTCATCTTTGAAATAAAGATATGACTTAACTTACTTCTTAAGATTATTATAAGACTAGAGTCATTTAATGGATGAAAAAGTACTGCATTTTTTTCTTAGTGCTCTATAAATTAAGGGTATTATGATCCTACCTGGGAGCCAGTGTGGTATAGTAGGTAGAGCCCTGGATTTGGAATCAGAGGACCTGAGTTTGAATCTCAGCTCTGCCACTTACTTTGTGAATTTGTGAAACTTATATGCAAAAGAAGTGGGTTAGCTGGCAGTGGGGAACCTGTGGCCTTCTAGGTCCTTGGGTGTGGCCTTTTGGCTGAGTCGGAGTTTTACAGAACAAACCCTTTTATTAAGGAGATTTGTTCTGTGAAGTTTGGATTTAGTCAAAGGGCCTCACTTGGGGACCTAGCAGGCCACTTGAGGCCTAAGGTTCTCCACCTCAAGACTAGATAATCTCTAAGGTCCCTTTCAATTCTAGATCTTACCATGTTTTCCTCTCAGAAAAGTGCTGCTCTACCACCACCAATTTGCCCAGGGGGACTCAAACCTTACTTCTCACTGACTGATGATATTTGTGCATATTGTATTATCATATAATGATGTGCCATCTCGTTCATAGCTGACATTGTAAATTCCATTAAACTAGTCTTAAGCAACAACAAAAAACAGTCTTATAGGAAACTGTTCTTTAAACTGCTACATTAATCTTTTCATCAGCTCATTGCTCAAAAGATGTTCTCTCTTAGTAGCTACTCCTCTCAGTCCACATGTTTGTTATCTCTCTGTGGAAGCATATGTAGGCCCATTGAATTGGAGGACTTGAAGAAGTCTTGCCCATAATAGGATTTATTTTAAACAATATAGACAGTAGTGTTTTTACCAAATGCTTTGGAGGCCTTTCATCAGATCTTTGGTTAGATACTGATTCATTGTTTTGAAAAGAATATAGTGGTATAGGTTACATGAAATTTATTTTTGAATCCTTCCTGGAAATTTTAACGGGATGAGGTAGTGATGGGGATAGTGGAGAAGGATGAGGGGTAGCAGAAAGTGTTAACGCATTTTGTAAAAACAAGATTCTGACAGGTTAATTATTGCCTATTTGAGTATTTTACATCTGTTGTTTTTCTTTTCTAGACAGTCACAGAGCCTGAGCTGAAAAATAACCGGGTATTAGATGAACTGGTAAAAAGTTTTAGTTCAGCACGGTATGATCTAATTTTTTGTTTAATTACCATCTTCCTTTTCTTGCTCATTATAATAATTTACATTGGAATACATTGGATAATTTATATTGGAATATATCTTCCATATACACCCTTTTTGTTTAGGACATCTGAGATTGTATGTATATTTATGTGTTCCAGTAACTCTCCTGTTTTGAAAAATAATTCTTACTAAACTACTAACACTAGAAACATAAGACACCCTGGTTTTTAGCCTAGTTTATGACTATTTGAATGATTTTATTGCCTTGCTACTTGCAAGATCTTTTGGAATATGTTAATGGAATAAGCTAAGTACTTTTTATACTACTTGTATGGATTCTTGCATACTTTTTTTTTATTGTAAGTTCTTGTTTAGCCTCTCCTGAAGTGGCCAATTAGTTGTTTTTTCTCTTATTGCAGCCATTTGGTAATATCACATAGTATTTGTTCTTGATATTTTGGTGTATTATTCCCTTTGATATTCAATGTTTCACAGTAGATGGTCCAGAGTTTGTGTGATTCTGGCACGGTGGATAGGTCTTTAGGTCTAGAGTGAGGAAGACTTGAGTTGAAATCTGGCCTCAGATACTAACTAGCTGTGTGACCCTGGGCAAGTCATTTAACTTCAGTTTGCCTCAGTTTTCTCAACTGTAAAGTAGGGCTAACAGTAGCACCTATTTCACAGAGTTGTTGTGAGGATCCAATGACATAATATTTGTAAGCGCTTAGCATAGTGCCTTGTACATTGTAAGTGCTTAAATAAATACTTATTTCTTTCCTTTCTTCCAATGATTCTTCCATTATCACCGTAAAAGCAAAAGAAATTGTCATAGGACTGAGAGTCATTTTGTATTTTTCATTTTTATGGATTATCATAGCCAAAGAATTCATCAATGAGTGGCTAGGTTCCTTACTAGCAATAAGCCTCTCCATTGTTAGTGAGGCTGGCCCTCAGAGTAGACTCAGTTTGTTGCTGAGATGACTCAGAGCCTTTTCTAGCTAGTCCTAGAAGGAAGGTCCTGGCATTGAGAGGGATTGGGAAAGGCTTCTTTTTAGAGGTGGGATTTTAACTGAAACTTTAAGGAAGCCTGGAAAGCCAAGAGATGAGATGAAGAGGGAGAGAATTCCAGGTTTGGGGGACAGCCATAGAAAGATTCAGTCATGGAGTGTTTTGTGTGAGGAATACTGACAGGCCATTTTCATTGTATTGCAGAGTATGTAGGGGTGAATAAGGCATAAGAAGATGGGAAAGCTAGAAAGGTACAAGGTAGGCTTTGAAGCCAAACAGAAGATTTGTTATTTGATCCTGGAGGGAATAGGGAGTCACTGGAATGAAGGAGTGACATAGTCAGACCTATGTTTTAGGAAGATTACTTTGGACCACCATCTCCCTCAGTCTACCCTGCCTTCTAGCCACCCCCTTCCATTTCTTTCCCCTTTCTCCTCCTACTTCTATAGGGTAAGTTAGATTTCTATACCTAACTGATTATGGTATATTCCATCTTTGAGCCAAATTTGATGAGAGTAAGTTTCAAATAATGCTCATTTCCCTCCCTTCTTTCCCTCTACTATGATAGGTTTTTGTGCTTTTTCACGTGGTATAATTTACTCTTGTCTGCTTCCTTCTTTCCTCTTCTCCCAGTATTATTCCTTTTCATCAGGTAGAACAATAATTTTTAAATTGTCTCTCCTGGATCTATTTTCTAGGTCAGTTGTTTTACCAATGTGGTATTTTACATTTTCTTCTATTTTTTTTCTTATTTTGTTTCTGTTTGACTGATTCTTGATATCTCTTAGGGTCATTAGCTTCCACTTGCCCAATTCTAATATTTTTTAATTTTTAAATTTTTTATTAATTTATTTTGATTTATCAACAATCACTTCCATATGCTTTTGAGTTTAAAATTTTTCTCCCCCTTCCTCCCCACTACCCTTCCCAAGACAGCTCACAATCTGATGTAGGCTATACATATACATTCCTATTAAACATATTTTCACGTTAGTGGTGTTGTAAGTAAAAATTAGAACCAATAGGAGGAACCACTAGAAAGAGGAAACAAAACTCAACAGAAGAGAAAAAAAATAGCAATTCAACTTCCATAGTTCTTTCTTTGGATGTGGATAGCATTTTCCATCACAGGGCCTTTGGAGATGTCTTAGATCCTTGTATTGCTGGGAAGGGTTAAGTCTATCAATATTAGTCATCATATAAAGTGGCTGTTATTGTGTACAACGTTCTCTTGGTTCTGCTCACTTCACTCATCATCAGACCATACAAGTCTTTCCAGGTTTTTCTGAAGTCAGCCTGTTCATCATTTCTTGTAGCACAATAGTATTCCATTACATTCATATACCACAACTTGTTCAGCCATTCCCCAATTGATGGGCATCCTCTCAATTTCCAATTCTTTGCCACCACAAAAAGAGCTGCTATGAATATTTTTGTACATGTGGGTCCTTTTCCCATTTGTATGATCTCTTTGGGATATAGTCCTAGAAGTGCTGTTGCTGAGGTCAAAGGGTATGCACATTTTTATAGCCCTTTGGGTATAGTTCCAAATTGTTCTCCAAAATGGTTGGATCATTTCACAACTCCACCAACAATGCATTAGTGTTCCAATTTTCCCACATCTTCCCAACATTTATCATTTTCCTGTTTTGTCATGTTGGCCAATCTGATAGGTGTGATGTGGTACCTCAGAGTTGTTTTGATTTGCATTTCTCTAATCAATAATGATTTAGAGCATTTTTTCATATGACTATAGATGGCTTTAATTTCTTCATCTGAGAACTGCCTGTTCATATCCTTTGACCATTTATCAATTGGGGAATGGCTTGTATTCTTATAATTTCTTAATTCTCTATATTTTAGAAATGAGGCCTTTATCAGAGAGACTGGTTGTAAAAATTCTTTCCCAATTTTCTACCTTCCTTCTAATCTTAGTTGCATTGGCTTTGTTTGTGCAAAAACTTTTCAATTTAATGTAATCAAAATTATCCATTTTGCTTTTCATAATGTTCTCTATCTCCTGTTTGGTCATGAATTCTTCTGTTCTCCATAGATCTGATAGGTAAACTATTCCTTGTTCTCCCAGTTTGCTTATAGTATCAGCCTTTGTATCTAAATCATGAACCCATTTTGACTTTATTTTGGTATCTGCTATACTCTTTTCTAGTTTTCCCAGCAGTTTTTTTTCAAAGAGTGGGTTCTTATCCCCAAAGCTGGGGTCTTTGGGTTTATCAAATAATAGATTACTATAGTCATTGACTACTGTGTCTTGCATATTTAACCTATTCCACTGATCTACCACTTTATTTCTTAGCCAGTACCAAGCAGTTTTGATGATTGCTGCTTTATAATACAATTTAAGATCTGGAATTGCTAGGCCACCTTCCCCTGCATTTCTTTTCATTAGTTCCTTTGATATTCTGGACCTTTTGTTCTTCCAAATGAATCTTGTTATTATTTTTTCTAACTCTATAAAATAGTTTTTTGGTAGTTTGATTGTATGGCACTGAATAAGTAAATTAGCTTAGGTAGAATTGTCATTTTTATTATATTAGCTCGGCCTACCCATGAGCAACTGATGTTTTTAAAAAATTATTTCCTTCTATTAGATTTTGTACCTCCTTTTCCATTTGGCCCGTTTTAGGGTTTTTTTTTTTTTTGCTTAGGCAATTGGGGTTAAGTGATTTGCCCAGGATCACACAGCTAGTAAGTGTCAAGTGTCTGAGGCCAGATTTGAACTCAGGTCCTCCTGACTCCACGGCCGGTACTCTATCCACTGCACCACCTAGCTGCCTTTGCCCCCATTTTACTTTTTAAGGAGTTCTCCTCAGTGAATTTTTGTGCCTCCTTTTCCATTTGGCCAATTCTACTTTTTCAGGACTTGTTTTCTACAGTCAATTTTTGTTCTTTTCCAAGCTATTGACTCTCTTGCATACCTCTCATTTCTTTTCCCAATTTTTCTTCTACCTCTCTTATTTGTCTTTTAAAATCCTTCTGACCTCTTCTAAGAAGGCTCAGCTTGAGACCAGTTCATATTCCCCTTTGAGGTTTCAGATATGGGTATTTGACAGTGTTGTCATCTTCTGAATTTGTGCCTTGATCTTCCCTATCCCCATAATAAGAATCTATGATCATTGTCTGTTTCTGCTTTTTGCTCATGGTATTTGCCTAATTCCTAACGTTTAGAGTTAAGCTCTCCTGTTGGAGCGCAAGGGGTGCTGACCCAAACTTCTTGTGCTAGGAGTCTGGGATCTGGCCACTGGCTTTGTGTGCTGGGCCCTCAGGGACTGGCAGCTTACCTGGTGCTGAATGATGGCTTCTGCTCCCTTGGGTCTTGCATTCAAATGTTTGGCTGCTGAAGGATGTCTGCCTGCCTGGAGCTATGCCAGCTAGAGCTGTACTTTTTGGAGTTGTGCTGAAGCACCAGGAGACTTGGCTGCTGGAGAATACTGGTGCGCATGGTGGTTTTCTGAGCTGGAATCTACTGGTTCCCCTGCCTGTACTGAGGTACTCAGGGGTCCTGGTATTGGTGCTTGCCTGATCCATCACTCTGGGGCTCAGGATCTCCCCCTGGTTTGCTGAGGTGGGGCTTGCTGCTGGCTTGCTGGGATGACTCCTGTCCTGTACTTCTCCCCCTCTCCCAGAGTGAGAGGGGCCTTTCCTATTAATTCCCTCAAGCTTCCTGGGCTACAAGACTGCTGCATCCCATCTTTCTGCTGGCTTCACTGTTCTGAGTTTTTCCTGGGGCAATATTTTCTGGGCTTTCAGAAGTCAGCAAGGGAGAGTGAAAGCAACTTACTTCTTACTCTGCCATCTGGCTCTTGGAAGTGGAACTTAGCTTAGTGTGAGATTGACTGGAGCAGGGAGACCCACCGGTAGGCTATTACAGTAGTCCAGCCATGAGGTGATGAGGTCCTGCACCAAGATGATGGCAGTGTCAGAAGAGAGAAGGGGGTGATGGCGAATGCTCTGAAAGTAGAAATGACAGGACATGACGACTGATTGGATATGGCAAGTATGAGAGTGAGAAGTCGAGGGTGATACTTAGTTTGGGAGCTTAGGTGACTGGAGAGATTGGTGGGGTCCTTGGCAGTGATGGGGAAGTTAGGAAAGGGAGGATTTTTGGGGAATGATAATGAGCTCAATTTTGGACATGTTGGGTTTAAGGTGTCTTCAGGACATCCACTTTGAAATGTCCAGTAGGCAGTTGGAACTGTGAGTCTGGAGGTCAGCAGAGAGATTAGGGCTAGATAAGTAGATCTGAGAATCATCAGTATAGAGATGGTAATTGAATCTGTAGGAGTTGATGAGAACACCAAGTGAAATAGTATAGAGGGAGAAGAGAAGGTGGCCCAGGACAGAGCCTTGGGGACCCCCCTGTTTGTAGTGTGACCTGGATAAAAATCCAGCAAAGTAGACTGAGAAGGAGCAATCAGTTAGGTAGAGGAGGACCAGGAGAGAGCAGTGAAATGGAAATCCAGAGAACAGAGAGTGAGTATCAGAAAGAGGGTGATTGATAGTGTACAGGTCTGGAGAGAAATAAAAATGAAGAATCAAATTAGAATGAGGATTGAGAAAAAGCCATTAGATTTGGTAATTAGGAGATCATTAGTAACTTTGCAGAGAGCAGTTTCAGTTGAATGGTGAGATCAGAAACCAGAAAGCACAGTGGAAGCATAGATTGTAGACACCTTTGTCAGGAAGTTTAGCCACCAGTGGGAAGAGAGATATGGACAGTAGCTCTGAGGATGGACAGAACAAGTGAAGGTTTTTTGAGAATGGGGTAGATGGACATATTTGTAGGTAGTAGAGAAACAGGCAGGGAGAGATTGAAGATAATAAGTGAGAGAAGGATGATCGAGAGGGTAATCTGCTTGAGAAGACAGGATAGAATGGGGTCATTTGTGCATATAGAGAAGTTTACCTTGGTAAGGACAAGGGTGACCTCTTCATGTGAAATAGAGGTGAAGGAGGAGATAGTGGCAGAAGGCATCTGAGTGATATGGAATGAAGAGGAAGGTAGAAGAGGGAACCCTCGGTGAATGGCTTCATTTGCTTTTTTTTTAGTGAAATACGAAGCAAAGTTCTCAGCTGAGAGGATGGAGGGAGGAGGAACTGTGGGAAGTTTGAGGAGGCATGAAAAAGTTTGAAAAAGCTGTTATGGTGAGTGGGATAGTGAGTTAATTTGGGAGGTATAAAAGGATTGTCTCGCCACAGTGAGGGCACAGCTGAGGTTATGTAACATGAATTTGTAGTGGAACCAACCAGCCTGGTGTTGTGATTTTCTCTATTTCTGTTCTACAACAGGTAAGTAGGAACAAAGATATTGGCAGAGCAATATAGGTGATGTGATAAGGGGTAAGGGACTTGAGAGGAGACAGTGTAGAGTTGAACTAGTTCACCAAGGGTTTGAGATGGGAAAGGGAGGAAAGTGTAGCTACTTCAGGGTTGGTGACTTAAGAAGGAATTGAAGGTTCCAGGGATTAGAGGTCATGATAAGAGTGAAAAAAACAGTTTAGGGTTATAAGGCAGAAAGAGAGGAGGAATGACAATAGATTATAATCAGATCAGGGAATTTCAGAGTTCATGAACATAGAAGTGGTACATTTGTGTGTGATAACAAAGTCAAGGGTATGACCACCTTTGTCTCCTATATGCGGGTAGCATTTGGGGAAGAGAGAGACTGTGAACCAGGACTGAACTCATTGATGAAAGACAGCATGTATCCAGGAGGTTTTAGACAATAGCTGCCAGAATTGTGATTGCATGGTAGATATGAATTGAGTGAACCTCAGATGAGAAGTTGCTGAGTAATGTATTGGAGGGAGAACCTGGAAGTGGCAATGGGGAGCAAAGAATATGCCAACTCTCATGAGTGAACATGTAACCAGGAGAGAGCCACATCTCAGTGAGAGGCTGGAAGATGGAAGGAGTAGAGTGGGAAAGGACAAGATTTAAGATGAAAGTGTGTTACCAATGGAGCAGGTCTTCCAGAGAGCACAATGGAAGGACTTGGTAGCTTTAGAGTGAGAGTGTGACATTGGGGGCAGAGTGTGACAGAGGAGACTTGGGTTGAGGGGAAAGGGAATAAGGGATTGAATGGGGGTGGGAGATGGAGAATGAATTTGAAGTGGGAGTTTTTAATTATTGAGGAATAAGTTCAGGTAGGTCACCATTTCTAGGGGTTTGGTTTCAGAGCATTTGGCAGCTCAGGTGAGGGGACCAGTGGGAGGTGCTGAAGGTCTAGAGTTTCTACCTGGGTATGATGGAATGTCATTTCTTAGTTTACTCACATCATCTGCCTCCTTTGCTCATTTTCACATACTGCTGAAGGCAAAGGCTATTTTATTTTATTTCTTTTTTACCTTTCTTTGCATCCTTAGCGCTTAGCACAGTGCCTGGCACATAGTAGATGCTTAGTAAATGCTCGTCTACTTGACTTTATTAAAGTTCCTTTCAGCTCAAAGTCTGTGATCTAGAGCTATTGCCACATTAATGGTATCTAATCAGTGCTAGCATTTATATAGACTTAAATTTTGCAGTGTTTTACAAACATTATCCTAATTTATCCTTATAACAACTCTGGAAGGAAGGTACTATTATTCCATTTTCCAGATGAGACAATTGAGACAGATTGAGGTTAAGTGACTTGCTCAAGGTCACACAGCTAGTAAGCATCTGAGCCTGGATTTGAACTGAAGTCTTCTGATACCAGGTCCAGTACTCTATTCATTGTATCATCTTGCTGCCTAATGAGAGGAAAGGAAGACAAAGGCAACTGAGAACCACAGATCAATCAACCAGCAAACATTTATTAAGTACCTTCTATGTGTCAGGAGCTGTTCTAAGCAATGGGGATATGAAGAAAAATATGAAATATTTTCTGTCAACAAGGTCCTTAAATTCTAATGGGGGAGACAGCATATGCCTATATAGTTCCATATGAAATACCTACAAAGCAGATATAAATACATCAAATATTACCCAGAAATTTAAAATCTCTTCCTTATAGATTTGAAAATAGGAATCTGTCATTTATCTTTGTGTTCTCCATAGTGGCCAATATAAGGCCTTAGTAATAAGTAATAGATGTTTGTTAAATTAACCAACCTTTTACCTGCTTTACTAACTAGTTGCAAACAGCTAAATGATCATAAAATGACCTTTTATTTCCCTTACTCACTTCAAAGTGAAAAGGTGTGGCGTAGCACAGAAATAAGCATCCAAAAAAGTTTTTTAATCTATTGGTAAAAATCTTACTAATTAGCAGCAAAATAGCCAAAAGATAGGCAACTGGTAAGCTAATCAGCTCTTGGAGAATTAATGGTTGAGTGTAATCTTGTTGGAAATTGTGGTACACAGTTTCTTGAGCCATTTTTAACTTGATGGATGTCACTACAAAAAAGCACTGCTCTAAATACTTTGATGTATATGAGACCCATTGAAGTATATGCCTTACAGCAAGAGCTTTGGGTCATAGATTTTTTATTCACTTCCTTGGAATAATTGCTTTCCAGAATGTTTAGAATACTTCATAGCTTTACCAACAGTGCATGATTCTGCCTGTTTTTCTATAGCTGTTCCAACATTAGCTCTTCCTCTTTTTATCACAGAAGGTATATTTTTGTTTTGTTGTCATTATAAAACTGAAGATTTCGAAACAGAAAACAGTGGGTAGTGGAGGGAGGGGCAGATAAATAATCCAGACCACTTAATATATTCATTGTTTGATGTCCTAATCAAGTTTGTTTCTTGTCTTCCAAGGAATCATCTGTTGCAGTTCACCCTAGATTCACCACCAATATCTCCTCTGCCTTCCTGCACAAAAAATATTTCTGGCAAAATCCAAGTTCCTAAAGTGCACATGCGTTCTTCCTTCAGACAGGAAAACAGAATGATGGATTCTTACTTGGTAAAAGAAATTCATTCTTCTATTAAAACACCAGAGAAGCCAAAGAGAGTCAAAGAAGGCAAAGTCAATCCTATAGGAAAAAAGCTCTGCAGTTCTGCAGAGATAAAAGGGGCATCAAGTGAATCAAGGGAGGCTCAAAGGTCCTCTTCTGTTGATGGCCCTGAGAAACCCTCTACATCTGCTTTAAAGGAAGTGACTAAAGGTAGGAGACTGTTTTCTTGTGTTTCTCCTTCTTTATCAAAAACTTCTCATCCCAGACAACAGTTATATAAGGTCACATTTCTGAAGTGGAAGGAGAGGGAAAAGACATACTAGATTTCAACTTAGTACTGCCTCGGAGTTTGATAGACACAAGTGCTTTCATGTTTGTATCAGTGTTTGACAATGAGATTAAAAATTCAGACTGAAGTCCCAGGCTTTGTGCCTCTAGATATTCCCCTTTCCTTCTCTGTATAGTATCCCTTGAGTGATCTCCCTAAAACACTATTTTCATTATGTCATTTTGCTTACAAACCCCCAATGGCGTTGCCTCACTTATAGGAGAAAGACCAAATTGTTTGACCTGTCATTCTGGGTGTTTTGCAGTCTGTCCTGCTCTAACTTTCTCACTTTATCTCTCATTATTCCTTAGCAGACATTTCCTTTTCAAGCCCATCTCCTCACATTTTCCTGAATATCCATGCTTGTTTCTACCTTCTAGGCTTTGCTTATTGGATTCGTTGCCCAAATCCAAATTATAGCTAACTTTAAGATCCTCAACCATTTGTTCTCACATTGATTTCTCTCTTCTTATTACTTCTGCAATACTTATTTCCTGGACCTTCTGTTTTGTATTTCAAGGGACTGAATATATACTGACTTATTTAACTGTTTCTTTCTTTAAAAAAATTTTTTTTCATTCTGAATTTACCAAACACCAAATAAGATAGGCATTTCTAAATATAAAGCAGAACAGAAAGAGGTCCATGAAACCAGAAACTTGTCTCATATAATATACTTATTCTATGAGTCCCTCTACTCACACAGTGGGCACCGTATTGAACATACTAGTTTTCCATTAAATATTTAATTTGAATTACTTTATTAATAAAAGCCTCTAGTAACTCTTACTCTGACACCTCATTTTAGAGATGACACAAGGTTCTTGTAAGCTATGCTAATGGAATACAAGCTTTAGAGTAAGTTTCCACACTGAAAAGGCTTCATGTACAGGCATGGAGACAGACTGTGTCTATTTTCTAAGGCTAAACCTGTCTAAATTATGAATGCCTTGTTATTAGAAAGTTGGCTAGCAGGTGCTGAATTTTTTTGATAACTCATAAAGGCTATCCACCAAGCTATGGAATGAAGTCAGTAGAGAAAATTTCCATAGTATTGAAATTACAGATCTTTTATAATATTAACATGTGGATAAATTTGAAAAATGTAGGTAAATTTCACTGATAGTCTAACAAGGCCACCACATATTTTTATTGATTAAGTCTCTGCAACAAACAATGAGTTATTACTTAGACCTATAAGACCTTAATGAATTTGTTGTTAGCTACTGTCTATTGCATTCATTCATTCAATCATTTAATCCATAAAAATTTGTTAAGGGCCTACTTTGTACCAGACACTGGGCTGAATAAATGCATTGTCTAAGGTGCACTCTGTTAGGCATTTTGAAGAATATAAAGAAAGGCCAAGTCCTGGTCCCTGCCCTCAAATAATAGCACAAATTGCCTTTTTTTAAATATCTAATTTTTTTTCTATTCAAGAAAATCTGATTTTTCTCCCTCTTACTTCCCCTCCTCCCATTGAGGAAGAAAAAAAAAAGATCCCAGTTACAAACATGAATAATCAAGTAAAACTATTTCTGACACTGCCTATGGTTAAAAAAAAAAGTCTTGATCTTCACTCTGAATTTTAATACCTCTACTGTTTATCAGGGGGTGGGTAGCATGTTTCATCATGAGTCCCCTGGAGTCATGGTTGCTTCTTTCATTGATCAGAGTTACTAACTCAGTCTTTCAAAATTGTCTGTTTTTATAATGTCATTGTTAAGATTTTTCTCCTAGTTCTGCTCATGTTACTCTGCATCAGTTCAGAAAGTTTTACCAGGTTTTTATGAAGCCATTCTTTTCATCATTTCTTATAGCAAAATACTATTCAGTCACATTCATATATAACTCGTTCAGCCTTTCCCAAATTGATAGGCACCCCCTCAGTTTCCAGTTCTTTGTCTTTGTAAAAAACAAAAAACAGCTGCTATACATATTTTTGTGCATCTTTAGATAGAATTTGTTTTAGAACTAATCCTTCCCTTAAACAGTCCTTGCTGTTATTTCTACCTCTCCCTTCTCTCCTTTTCCTTTTGTTTACCTGGTGATGGAAATGTATTTCTTTACCCATTTGTGTGAGTTCTCTCTTTTCATCAGTTCAGATGAGAATGAGGTACAAATGTCACCCAATCCCCTCTTCCTTTCCTCCTTGTTTTCACTTGTGTATTCCAATTACATGAGACAATGTCCCCCATCTTTCTTAAATCTTTTTTTGCCCTTTTTCCAGAGTTTATTCTTCTCCTTCCCATTTTAAGATCATTAAAACATAACAGACCTATTCCCCAGATCATGGTCTCATTAGGCTTGTTCTCTGACCACTGATTAGTTAAGAGTTCTGAGGAGATAAATCATCTCCTACCTATTAGGAGACTAGGTATCATCTCCCCCTATTAGAATCCTTGTTTAGTCCCTTATGATTATTCATTCATGTTTGTTTACCTTTTTATGTCTCTCTTGCCTTCTGCATTTGTACTTCAAAGTTTCTATGCATCTCTTTGGTCTTTCCATGAAGAATTTTTGGAGGTTCTCTATTTCATTAAAGGTCTATTTTTTTTCCCACCTGTAGGATTATACTCAGTTTTTCTGGTAAGTTGTTCTTGGTTGTAAGTCTGTATCTTTTACCTTCTGGAATATTGTATTCTAAGATCTTCTCTCTATTATAGTAGTCTCTACTAAATCATAATTGATCCTGACTGTGGCTATTTGGTACTTGAATTCTTTCTGTCTGCTTATAGTATTTTTTTAATTTGACTTGGAAACTCTGGATTTTGGCTCTGATGTTCCTGGGGAGTTTTCGTTTTGAGGTTTCTTCCCTGATGTTACCAGTGGATTCTTTCTATTTCCACTTTGTCCTCTGGTTCTAAGATATCTGGGCATTTGTCTTTTTATGATTTCTTGAAATATGATGTTTAGACTCTTTCTTGGGTCATAGCTTTCAAGTAGTCAATGATTCTTAAGTTATCTCTCCTTGATCAGTTTTCTAGGTCAGTTGTTTTTACTGTGAGATAATTTACACTTCTGGTTTTTTTTCCAGTATTTTGACTTTGTTTTAATATTTATAGTTGTTTCATGGAATCATCATTCAAATTTATAGGGAGTTTGTTGCTTGGGTAAGGTTTTGTACCTCTTATGTTAAGCTAATAATTCCTTTTCCATTTCTTTCTTCTTTGCTGTCATTTCTTCTCTAGTTTTTCCTCTCCCATACTCTCAGTTTTAAAGCTCTTAAAAAATTCTTGCTTCATTTCTTCCAGGAATTCTTGTTGAATGTCTAGCCAAACTCTGTTTTTCTTCTGAGATTTTGTTTGTTGATGTTTTGGAGTCATTCTCTTCTTCTGGTCTTGTATCTTAAGTGTCCCTGTCATCATAATAGTTTTTTATGGTAGGATTTTTTTGGTTTACTCATTCTTCCATCCTACTTTTTCATTACTGATTTTATGTTAGGGCAGGTTCTGCATACTTCGGAGGAAATGGCTGGATTGACCTTGTAACCTCTAGGTTCTGTCCTCTGTCAATTAAGTGCCTTCTATGTGCCACCCATTGTGCTAAGTGCTAGGGATATAAAAAGACATCTTTTGATAGTCTCTGCTTCAAAAAGCTCTCAAGCTTCTGCTGCTTTCTTGGTGTAATGAGTATTGTGTTATTCCAGGATTTCAGAGACAGCTCAGGTTAGAAACCCGCACACTTTCAGTGTTACCAAAGTGTTCTGATTTAGAGCAAAGTCAGATTGTTGTCCTCCTGGTCTAAGCTGTGCAAGTTCTTGCTCCAGACTTAGGTCTGAGCAATATGCCTGTGTTTTTGCTCCAGTTAGATTTCCAGTAGACTGCTGCTAGACTCAGCCACTATCAGCCAGCTGAAAGTTCTACAGCTTTGGAATAACAGAACTGCTGTCTCTCCTTTGGTCTGCCCTGGAATTCCTGTCCTGGTTATTCCACTGCAGGCTTCAGACTAGGCTTGAGGTTATAACTGAGACTCTTCTCTGCTCTCGGGGTCAGAGCCACACTGCTGCTGGCTTCTGAATGTGCTTTATGCTTATAAAACATAGCCTAGGGTTTGTGGCCTCTTTGTTTTAAAAATTATTTAATATTTTATTTTTTCCCCAATTACATGTGAAAACAATTTTTAACATTCTTTTTAAAAATTTTGAGTTCCAAATTAACCCCCCAACCCACCCCCATAAGAAGGCAAGCAATTTAATATAGATTTTATATGTGTGGTCATACAAAATATTTACATGTTGGCCTTGTTGTGAAAGAAAACACAGATAAAAAAACCCGAAGGGAAGGTAAAAAAAAAAGTATGTTTCAGTCTGCATTGAGACTCTATCAGTTCTTTCTCTGGAGATGGATAGCTTTTTTTATCTTAAGTCCTTTGGAATTGTCTTGGTCATTGTATTGCTGAGAAAAGTTAAGTCATTCACAGCTGATCATTGTACAATATTGCTGTTACTGTGTACAATATTCTCCTGGTTCTGCTCATTTCATTTTGCATCAGTTCATCTAAGTCTTTCCAGGTTTTTCTGAGAGTATCCTGTTAGTCATTTCTCACATCTCTCATAGCACAATAGTGTCACATCACAATCATATACCACAACTTGTTCAGCCATTCCCCAACTGATGTTGTTTGTGACCTCTTTGAAAGGCTACCCCTTAGGCTTGGTCTGCCCTGGATATATGACCCAGAACAGGGTAGTTAGTGATAAAGCCACCACTTGGCTCTTGTTTTTGTACCCTACAGAAAGTCAAGATCTTCTCTGCTGATTGGGGTAACTCTTCTTGCCCTGGTGCCCAGACTCTCTAGCACTAGAATGCTCAGTGTTGCTGGTCCCCAGACCTCCCTGTCTATCTGCCTTTTCTGACCTGGGCTGGAAAACGGACTGATTTTTTTTTCTTTGGATTTCCCTATCAGGATTTGCTCTGGTGTGTTTTTTGTGTTTGTGTAGAAGAGTTGTGGGGTGGAGTGTGGCTGCACTTCTCCCTGATGCTCTGTCATTTTAGCTGCACCTCACATTGCCTGTAGTCTGACATATGCTTATGACTATGGAAAAAGAAAAGGTATAGAAGAATTTGATAATAATAGCGTTCAATAATAGTGCTGTCTAGTCTAACGGAAGTTTCTGAGAATTAGTTTGTTATTATGTAATTCACTTCCAGCTTATGTGATTTTTTTTAGTGGAGCCTTCACAAAATAGCTGTGCATACCTCAGATAAAGGAGGTTCATCGAAGGATTTAACTAATAGATGAAAACCTCCAGCTAATTCTCAGTCTTTTTACTTCATGCTTGGTATTCTTGGTTTATGACCCTCCAAATTTCCTGACATCTTTTCTCACCTTGTTCTCCCTACATTCTACTGACTTTCTACTTTGTTTTTCTGAAAGAGTATTTAATGACATATCTTAAAGTGCACTTTATAAATACTATTATAGCTATTGTTTTGTTGTTATGACTTTTTATTTATCTTTTTCTGCACCAAAAATTGGTAAATTTATTTTTTTGCTTCTCTACAAATAACATGTATATTTTTAAATGCAGTGGAATGCCCTGTTTGCAGTGTGAGCATCCCTGAGGCCTACATAAATAAGCACTTAGATAGCTGCTTATCACGGGAGGACAAGAAGGAAAGCCTTAGAAGGTGGGTAATTTAAACATAACTGGGATAGATTAAACTTCTTGGCGCTCTTGTTTTATATATTGATTAAATTGAATTCAACTTTCATGTTGCCCTGTTGATATTGTCTCATTTTTCTTTATTTCTCATTTTTTCTTAACTCTTTCTAAATCTGCTGTTAGAGCAGTTAACAGGCTTTTGCCCAAATAGAAAATCTATTGTTTTGGAAATAGATTATGTCTTACTGAATATTTTTCTTCATTAGTTTCAAAATTGTAGTTAAGTTCCAACTCTCTTAGATGTCTCCTAATAGCAGTATTGTCTCTGTTGTCTACTGAGAGCTTCAAAATTTTTTAATGTGCTGATTTTTAGCAAGAACTTTAAATCTTTTTGTCTTGTAAGGCATTAGATGAATGGTGTTTTAGACAATTTTAATTTTAAAGAATTATTTGTTTTTCATTTATACCTTTTAACTAAATATTAAGGAAATGCAAGCATGCTTACTTAGTTTTAGCTGATATGCCAAGTTGCTAAATATTCACATCTCTGTGCTCACTGGATCCAGTTTTGTATTATTTTTGTTCTCACTGAGGATGTTCCAGATTAAGCATGGTATTCCTTAGCAGTCATTTGACTACTGTTGACATGCCTGTTGATAAGTGAAGTGTTAAAGTTAAAATCATTTTCTTTTCTTTTTTTTTTTTTTAACCAACTTGCTACCGAAATCTTTATTATCTTGGTTAAGTGTTTTTAGGTGCATTAGTAAGGTTTTTTATAGACCAACAGTTTTGGGAAGATCAAATGAAATAATATATGTAAAACATTTTATAAACCTAAATAAAACCTTATATAAATGTCAGTTATTGTTTATTCTGTAAGAAACATGGGCCTATTTTAAGTTTCTAAATCAGACTTGGGAACATCACACATTAAATCCAAAAGTTAAGCCATATACTTATCCTTTGATTTGTTATAGGATTATTTTGAAGATGTAATTTTAGTCTTAAATGTGGTTTTTCTTTAATATTTCAAGTGATTGGTTTAATAGTCTTTTTGATTGTCTCTTTCATCTAAGTAACAACCAAATACAGTAGATACAGAGCCAGCTATATATATTTTGTATGTATGTAGTTGTTTACTTTCTGTTGCCTGCATTAGAATGTGAGCTTTCTGAGGATAGAGAGAGTATGTTTTTCTTTCTTTGTATTCCCAGTGCTTAGCACAGTGCCTGGCACATGAGTACTTATTAGTAAATGCATGTTGACTGACTGACTGACGTTGGAGTCAAGAAGACCTTGGTTTAAGTCTCACCTCCAACATAAATTGGTTATGTGACCCTGGTCTAATTACTGAACCACTCATTGCCTCAGATAATTCTGTAAGATAGGGATTCTTAAGCTTTTTTTGTGTCACAAACCCCAATGGCAGTATGGTGAAACCTATGGTCACCCTCTCAGAATAGTTTTTTGAAATAAATTTTCATTGAGATATTTTGTTTTATATCACTGGAATTTCTCCCAGAATCCCCGTAATACATAGAAAAAAAATCTGAAAATATATGCAATGTCCCATGCTCTTGGACCTGCTCCCTCTGCAAAAGAGTGTGGTGGCAGTGTCTTCTCATGTATTTTTTTAGAGCTGTGCTTGTTCTTTGTAATTTGGCAGTGTTCATTTTTAATTGTTTGATGATTCTTTGCATTTACACATTATTACATATTTGCATATTATTTTCTTGGTTCCACTTAGTTCACTGCATCAGATCATGTAAATCTTTTCATCTCTCTAGTCATCATATTTGTCATTCTTTATAGCACAGTTAATCACTAAGCATTTATTAAGAGCCTTCTATGTTCCAGACACAGTAATAGTCCAACACATTCACGTATCATAATTTACTTAGCTATTCCGCAATTGATGTGTATCTACTTTTTTTCCCCCTAATTCTTTACTACCACCAAAAAAAAAGTTACTCTAAATATTATGGAATATGTGAGAACTTTCTTCTTATCAGTGACTTTCTTGGAGGATGTAAGTAATAGAATGTCTGGATCAAAGATCAGTAAGTAAGCATTTATTAAGCACCTGCTGTATGCCAGGCACTGTGCTGAGGGCTGGACGTACAAAGAAAAGTGAAAAACAGTCTCTGCTCTCAAGGAGCTCCCAATCTAGTTTGGGAGTACAAATGGTACATACTGGATAATTGGGGGTAGTCTCAGGGGGAAGACTGGCAGTAAGGAGAACTATGAAAGATTTCTTACAGAAAGTGTGAACTTTAGCTGAGACTTCAAGGAAGCCAGGGAAGCTAGTTCTAATTCTGAATTAAATTCTAATTCTAATTTTAATTTTAGGCATGAAGAACAGCCAGTTAAAATGCTTGGGTTAGTAGATAGAGTGCTGTTTATGAGGAATGGCAAGACGGCCAGTATAGTGTGTGTGGATAAGAGTAAGGTGTAAGAGGTTTGGAAAGGTAGTAAGAGGTCAGACAATGAAAGGCTTTAGAAACCAAGCAGAAGATTTTAATTGTGGAGATAATAGGGAATCATTGGAATTTATTGAATGGTGTGGGGGATGGTATCATCAGACCTTAGTCCTAGGATAATCAATCTGACAGCTGAGTCTCAGATGGATTAGAGTGGGGAGAGACACGTGTTAGGGAGATCAATCAATAGGCTATTGTAACAGTCCATCCAGCTAGAGGCAATGAGGGAGTGGTGCTATCAGAAGAGACAATGGGACACATACAGGTAGGAAAGACATAACTTGACAATTGATTGGATATGGGAGTGAGAGAGTGAACAGTTGAGGATGATACTTATGTTTTGTGAGCCTGGGTGATTGGGAGGATGGCAGTGCCCTCAACAGTAATAGGGAAGTTAGGATGGGATAAACACTTAGGGGGAAAAGATAATTGAGTTCAGTTTTGGAGATGCTGACTTTAGGATGTTTATGAGACATCCAGTTCAAGCTACTAGGCAGTTGGAAATGCTAGACTGGAAGTTGGAAAAAAGGTTAATAATGCTAGACAGGTATATCTTGGAATCACCTGCATTAGATAATGGAAATCATAGGAATTGATGAGATCATCAAGTAAAATAATGTAGAGGCAGAAGAGAAGGGGGCCCAGGATAGAGTCTTGGGGGATACCCACTGTGAGTGGTTATGATCTAGAAGACCAAGCAAAGAAGATTGAGGAGTGGTCAAATAGGTAGGAGGAGAACGAGGATAGAGTGATGTCATGAAAACCCTAGAGAGAAGAGAGTATCAAGGAGACGAAGGTGATTGATAATGGACAAGGCTGCAGAGAAATCATAAAGAGTGAAGATTTGAGAAGAAGCCATTAGGTGTTGTCCTTAAAAGATGATTAGTAACTTTGCAGAGAGCCGTTTCAGTTGCATGATGAGGTTAGAAGCCAGACTATAGGAAGTTAGGAGGGTGGCAGGAAAGGAAGTGGAAGCATAGATTGTAGACAACTTTCTAGTGGGGAAGACAGCACAAGTGAGGTTTTTTTTAAGATAGAGGAGACATGGACATATTTATAGGCAGGGAAGCAGCCAGTAGATGGGAGAGATAGAAGATATTTGAGAGAGTAAGGATGATGAAAGAAATCTGCTAGAGAAGATGGGGTAGAATGGGGTCACTTATGCGTGTAGACAGGTTTACTTGGCAAGGAGAAGGGACACCTCTTCGACTGGGACAAAGGTGAAGGAGGAGATAGTGACAGAAGGCATCTGGGTGGTGTGAGATAGAGAAGGATCTCTTGGTGAATGTCCAACATTTTTTCAGTGAAATAAGGAAAGTTCTCAGCTGAGAGGCTGGGGGACAGGGAACTATAGGAAGGATAAAGAGGTTTGGAAAAGCTGCTATGGTAAATGAGATGCTGAATTAATTAGGGAAGTATAAAAGGATTATCTTACCACACTGAGTTCCCACTTGAAATTATGTAAGATAAACTTTTAGAGTGCCACATCAGTATAGTTTTGCATTTTTGTCCAGCCCCATTCTACAGGAGGAGCAGAGACGGTGGAGGAATATGAGGCAGGTGCTTAGAAAGATAAGCTCTTTGATAAGATAAAGGGGCAAAGGACATACGAGTACATTGTAAAGTAGAACTACTGGGTGAAGATGAAGCAGGGGAGAGATGGTAGCCAGTATAGAGGTGATGGTTTTGGAACAAAATGAGGGGTAGAAGGGTGGAGGGATTAGATGTTATAGTAAGGAAGAAGAACAGGGTTTGGAGTTGCAAGGCAAAAAGAGGTGGAATGACAACAGATTATGGTCAGATAAAGGAATAACAGTTCATGAACATGGATGTAGAATTGTGAGCGCTGAACTCATTGAGGAAGAAAGGAGAGTGTCTTTAAAGTCTAGACATTTTTGTTGTTTTATTTGTGTAATTTGATAATGATAGTACTACTAATGGTAGTGATTCACGGCCCCACAGACTATGCACTGGTGTGCTCATCTTCCCATAAGAGTTCTACTATTGACTCTGGTCACGTTTTGTCATTTTTACCAATTTGTTGGGTGTGAGGTGAAATCTCAAGAGTTATTTTGATTTAAATTTCTGTTACTCTTTTTCATGTGGTTGTTAGTAGTGTGCAATTTTTTCTTAGAGAACTGTTTGTTCATATCTTTTAGTCATATACATATACATATTTACATATGTATCAGCTGTCTATATTAGAATGTTTTCTAAAATATTAGTAGTTGAAGGGTTTGCTAAATTTCATTTAGTGATGAGTGATAGTAAAGATGTAATTTTTTTTTCCCATCCAAGTTCACAGACACCCTGAAATTTATCCACAGTGGGGGTCTGTGGAGCTCAGGTTAAGGATCCATGCTTTAAGACTGTAATGACCAGAAGGTTATTTCCTCTCAAAGAGTGTTGTACACCAATGAAATCTCAGTTCTGGATCTCCTCCCTCCTTGTGAATATATCTGATCATGTCTATTGGTGAAAATATTTTTTTTTGATTACGTGAGTGCTACTGGCACATTGACTTGGCCGTGCTCCTGTTTTGATC